GTTCTGAACCTGGATTTCCCAAATACACACATTAGCCTGAACCCACAGCACAAAAGTTGTACAAATTCTAACACTGAGAAAAAAAACAGATTATCTTCCTGCAAAGCATCTCAGTTGCACTCTTTTCACTGATTTAATTGGCCCCTATTTAATCACCTTTAACTTCTATGCTGACTATTACCAGGAGATCTTCAGGAAGAGCTGGTGAAGGTAGGAGTAATCACATCACTAGTCCGAATATTAACCGATTATGCAGAGAGTGAACCACTTGTCCATGTTGATCTGTTGGCCTTATACAACCTTGCAGACCTTGGTAAGTAAATCCCATATTACCTAATACCATGTTCACTTCAAATACATTTTATGTCAGACAGCAGCAAGCTTTAAAAAAAAATTTCATATTTGTTAACGTACATCTTTTAGATGTTTAGGATCCCAGCAAGACTAGAACCATCTAATCAAGGCAGAAAATAGACTACTACAGCAAACTGGCACGTGTCAATTAGATATATTAAATAATCATACTACAGATGGATTTATAAGAGTCAATGGAATTAAGCCAAGATTAATTTGGCAGCTATTGTAAGGTCATAGCTACAGGAATTACACAAAAATAGTGTTAAAGAAGGGGAGGAGAAGGTATGGAGTAGAATTTTGCTGTCTCAATGCTGTCCAAAGGGACAGAAGCATCTATAGAAACAGCAAAAGCATTCAAAAAACAAAGTAGTGTCTAATCACTTCAGGTTATAAGGAGATATGCTTTTAACATTTACTCAGATACAGTCCAGATGTTGAATGTTTCTTTACCATCTACAGATATAGCCAAAGAAGCTCTAAGCAAGACAAAGGTTGCTGAACAGCTGGTGAAACAACTGAGAAGAGCAGAGAACCATGAGAGGTTAGAAATTGTCTTTGAGGTCCTGCAAGCACTTGCAGAAAATGGTAAGGCTCCTTTCAGCGTGGGGGAATGAGGGGAGACAGGAGACTGGTACTTTGCTTAAGCTCTGGGTTCTGAGTTTGCCATGGGATCCTACTAATGGGAACCCGCAAACGTTTCAATAGAAATAAGTCACAAGAACATTTGAAATCCTGGCCTGAGCAAGACTTTGAAGCTTAACAGGTGAGGCAAAGAAAGGAGGGAGAGAGTAGCATTCCACTCTGTTTCAGTGGATCCATGAGACAGCAGATTCAAACTCATTTTCCATGGTGGGCAACAGGAAAGCAGACTCAACAGATTTTTTTTTTTTAACTAAAAAATTACATACAATCAAGTTACCATAGATATCTACTCTAAGCAGTGGTGTAAGAAGCACCAACAAGAATCCACTAATAATATCTAGATACCCGATACAGATTTTAATGAAATGAAAAAAAATCATGACCAGCAATACAAGAAATGTCAAAGTTCAATGAAGAAGCTTTGCTCATTCTGCCTTGGTGTCATCCTAGCACCAGAATATCTGTTACAAACAAGACCAAAAAAAAGTGACTGCACCTGAAAAAAAGACTGTCTGAAGTTCAAGGATTTAGCTTCCTAGTTTGAAACATTTCGACAAAGACCCAGGAAGTTTTCAGCATGCTTTTACTGTGATCTTTACAGATGCTCTGAAAGTGCAGTTGGTGGAGGCAGGAGTGCAAGAGGTGCTGTCCGAGATCCTGCTGAGGCTCCAGGGTAGTTCACAAGCTGAAGATACCTGCATTCTGAAGGCTGCATCAGATCTCATTGTCTCTCTGCTTCTTGGAGGTAAAAAAAGGGAATACCGACAGTCCAGATACATAAAGAAACAACATCAAGAAGTCCCCTTAGCAGAGGGCTTGCCATCTGCTCTGTTGCTTTCATTTCCTTAAGAGGGACACATCTGCAACCTGTTTCATAATCCTTAGGGGAATTCTTCTCAGACACCACACTTTTTCACTTTTTATAGGAACCTAGTGCTCACATTGTCATGCTTCCCTTCAAGCATATACATATGTTGCCTCAAGTCATCATATGCCACTGTGACTGCTCCTGCACAGAACAAATGCAAGCAAAAACTTCAGGCCATTGCAGCTGTACCTGTGGTTGTCAGTTCACACCCCGCTTCTGCAACTTCACTTTCAAAGCTAGCCTAAGAGCCAGTTTTAAATTTAATCATCAGATTAAGTTCACATGGTATTGAACTGCTCATGTTTTCCTCACTTGCTATTTGAAATCTGTGTACATACTTCAAACATTTGGATTAACAAATGAAATGTAAGAACCTTCTTTTTAAGTTCTGCATCTATCTATTAGCAACAGACTACATGCAGTGCTGACCTAGATTTTTCACTAAGTCTTTAAGCTGATTTCAGGAACAACACAAAAAGGCTAAAGACCTAACAGCAACTTAGTTTAGGTGGCCCTGCTATGTCGTATTTTGGCCAATACAGATTAAAGAATAAAACATCAAGAACTGGACACTTATACTTCAGCCCACCACCCCATAGAAAAAAATTCCACGGAAATCTGATCTCAGCATCCCAAAGCAACCAACATTTTTAAGGTCTTAAATTATTAACTATAACAACAATCTTTAAGTCATCACTGATTCAAATCTCTCCAAAGACAGACAGAAAGTACACTTCGGGGCTAATTATAAACAGACGTGAGATGTTCTCTTTATCATGCCACAGATAAGTACATGCAGTAATTTTTTTGCTCCCAGAATGTTGGTACTTGCATCACATCGAGACACATGCTGCTACAGAGACAGTAGCAATGGCTATTGCTAATTCTACAAAAAAATGGTAAGGTTGGTTATACTCTACCTTTCAAAGACGGAAAGCCACTGTTTGTGAGTGGAGAGAAAATCAACACTTAGATTTCACTGCTCCCTGTCTCTGTAACATTCTTGCTTTTCTGCACACTGGAGACTTGCATACCTTTAAGTTGCAGATGCTAATAATACTAAAAGTAACTTGAGGGACACAATTGTGAAAAATGGGGTGGTCAGGTATGCAAGCTTTCACACTTTTTTTTGCCTAAATCACACATCATTAGAGGGAGGGGAGACTCTGGAAATGTTTCATGGCAAATAGATTTGTTTGAAAAAGAAAAAAACTAACATACCGTTATTGATGTTTTAGTGTTTAAGTCACTTCATGAAGGGATGGTTACTCAGACACATCGGGGGGCAAAAATAAATCTCAAGATAAGCCATTTTATATCTTTCACACTTTCCTATTATAGAAAGCAATGAGTCTTAATGCTATGCAGAGAAACACAGAGATTCTTATTAACAGACTCCTGGAAGACGCGCTGTGCTGAATCAGGCAGCAGAAGACACCCCACCACGCTTTCTGTCCTTTCACACTGATAGCTACTGTACTGGCTTCAAATTCAATTAACAAAGAAGAGCCTTTTCAACAATGCTCAACTTTCTGCATTAGTATGTGCTTAATTATCACAAAATATTCCCTCACAGCTGTCTGAATGTTTAGCTAGTCAGTCTCATCTGTTTTTTTTCTTTAACACAAGCTGTCATACAGCCATGTCTCCACCTCCCCCCACATCCTTTCTAGATTCCCTTTCTTCCTTGTCTTATACCTTGCTCTGAATCAGCCATTGTGCATCATTGTTCTACAAAGGCCACAGAAATGCCCTCAGTGCCTTTGAACTTCAATTTATTCAGCTGAATGGCTTGGTCTGTCACTCACTCTTCTTCCTCCATCTCCCCCACAACCCCATTAGATGTTCATGTGGAAAAAGTGAATAATCCCTTTCAGGCCCCAGTATGTGCCACTGATGTATGCACAGACTTTAATCTAAGAGGAAAAAAATTCTATGGAAATCTGATCTCAGCATCAAATGACTTCTGAGGCAGTGAAAAGATGACAGACAGCTTTTGCAGCTATGAAAGTGGCTGTTCCTATCAGACTTTAACTATGAGCCATTAAATTGAAGGTTCTGCTGCTATCCAAGCAAAAAAATCTATAGGGGAGAGAACCAATTTGGAGCTCTGTGACAATCAAAGCAAGGCAACCATTAATGGGTTCTGCCTATTCACACTTTACTACAAGAGAAAAAAAATGTTCTGCCATTCTTTGGTTTGAAAGCTGGGGGGAGTAGAGAAATTAAGTTCAATTAAGGTTAGTCTATATGAAGATCAAAGTATTTTGCTGTAGAATTTTGTCACACCAAAAGAGATTGTCTGTTCATAGAGAACCTATTCCTAAAGAGGACTAGGCAATTTTCCTTATACTCTGATCTCCAAAGATTAGGACCAGGCAAGAGAACATTTGAAGAATCACAAGAAAAAAATATCAGCTTTAGAGAATGCATGCATAAATTGATATCAAAAGATTTTTGTATGAGTAGAATTCAAACTATTTGAGAAACTGACAGTTCTCTTATGAAAATATCCACTTACATTTTATAAACATTTGACAAACTCTTATTTAACATTTGTAGTAATACAGTGGAAAACCATGCTACTAACCTAAATGCTAAGAGATTAAACAAATAGCAGGCATTGGTTCAAAAGACAACACGGAGGAGTTTCTACTACTTTGGAGTGGAAGTAACATTCAAACCAGCAAAGGCGTTAAAATTACTAGAGACATTTTTAAGTGGTATACATACAAAAATTAGAAGCCTGTACACCTTAGGCATGCAGTTAGTGCTATGGAGAAGCACCTAAAGCTACTTCTGGCTGGATTCTGTATTTATATGAAGTCTGTATAGTTCCACAGATGTTTACCCCAGGTGAAGATGTGGTCTTCCTACATAGTGTTCACACAGTTCTGCCCTATTTTAACAAACAACATTCACATGCTAACAGCACAGCAATAAGGAAGTGTTGACTGGTGTCAGGAATATACTCATCGAGGTATATTAAACTGCGTAAAATAAAATACAGAAAAATATTTGGAAAATGGCACATTCAAAACACTTCCTTCAGGAAGGATGCAGCCCATAATATGCAGGGTTTCCTTTTGCTCTTTAGGAGAATACTTTCTCATTTCCTATCAAGGTGAGCCAAGTAGCTTCTGATAACAAAAGGGCTGTCACCTCTGCAGACCAAGTTCTCAGAGAGAGGGGGAGACGTACAGACACACATTTTACGGAGCATATTCTGGGGGCAAAATGGTAGTTCTCTGGAATGTACAAATCTGCTCTTTCACCAGCATTAAACAGATCAGAACTCTCTAGGTCAACTCATTTTCCTAGCTTCACAGGACTGCAACGCAATTAGACTTCTCATTTGAGAAAGCGGGGTTCTCAGAACAGGTAAGAAAAACCTAGGCACAATTCTTTCAATGATTAGTTAATGACAAATTATTTGACTGAATACGAGTCACAGCAGTACAGAACTAGCAATCAGACTCATCATTGCTGGATAAGATCCCTGGTCTCACAATAGCTTCTTAAACAGAATAGCAAACTTGGAGTATTAAAGCTATCTTGTGGAGAAATGGAAAAATGCCACCACCATTCCACCATATATATTGTGGAAAATAAAGCAGTATCGAGGAAGAAATTGACTGCAGAACATATGTTTTAGAATTTGCCAGTGACTGCCCCTAGAAAGCTCTCTAAAGCTAACCTTTGCTAGAGATGGCTCAGCATCAGTTCACAGGTGGCTGATGTCCACTTTTCTCTAGAGAGTTGAAGATTATAAAAAACAATGCAAGAGCTACAGTCTCAATCTTATTAAGGCATGAAAAAAGCCAAGGCAAAGACTCCCTGAATTCTCAATCCACACGATTAATTCCTACTATTGTGTTTCTTATCTCTCTCACCTGCTTGGTTTTGCTTCTTTCTTCAGATGGCAACTGTGTACAAATGCTACAGCTGGGAGTCATACATCAGCTTCTGGATCTTTTGGAGGAACACGCAGAGAGTGGGGATGTCTCTGTTCAACATGCTGCACTCAGTGCACTTCGAAACCTTGCTATACCAGGTACAGAGTTTGAAGGCAATTAACTTACTGGGGTTTTTTGTAAAGACAGGTCATTTAATGAGATCTGTGCAGTTCTGTCCAAGCCACCAATTCTAGTCCCTTGTATTTTGAGGGGCAACTGACCTTTTTTCCCCCTGCAGACATATACATATTTGAATATTTCATCAGGATTTCTCATCTACATAAAGGGTCTAAATATAATAAAGTGTGATCTCATTGCCAGCTGCTAAAATGGTTTCATTTTAACAGCATACAGCAGTTCAAGACAAAAATACAAAACAGGGTTTATTGCTTAAAATACAGAGTAGGGGTAGAGCTATCACATCACAGCTGGTAGGGAATTCACAAATCTCCTCTTCTATAAAGTAAATATTTATTGCAAATTCAGCCTTTGTAACACACTTTAAAGCTACAACTTAAAAGGGGCATTTAAGAAAGATGCAGATAGGCTTTTTAGCAAGGCCTGTTACAATAGGACAATGCATAACGGTTTTAAAGTAAAAGACAGCAGATTTAGACTAGATAGAAGGAAGACATTTTTTACAACAAGGATGGTGAGACCCTGGCCCAGGTTGCCCAGAGCAGTGGTAGCTGCCCCATCCCTGGAAACATTCCAGGTCAGGCTGGACGGGGCTCCGAGCAATCTGTTCTAGTTGAAGATGTCCCTGCTCACTGTGCAGGGGGGTTGGACTAGATGGCCTTTAAAGGTCCCTTCCAGCCCAAACTATTAAAAGATCATAAGAGAAGAATCGTTGAATACACATCAGAAAATTGTGTTGCTTCTCAATCTCAAATTTATTGCTTCAATGTGAAAGTGCAATTCAGGCCAAAAATGTTTTGCTAGAGAATTAAACAGTACAGCACCCTGCAACGCACTCCTTACACCGCGATACAGTATTCCAGAGGGGAGCATGACACTAACGCTATTTTCTGAAAATGAAAGAACCTGAAGTTGTCTGCCAATTTTGTTATGTAAGCTAGCCAGCATGCTTGGTTTAGCAGTTTTATACATAAACATTGCTTTGAACAAGTGAGAGCCCCAGAATAATACTAGTTGTTACTTTGCCTCCACTACTTCCTTTTAAAGCCTGATACACCCTCATTTCTTCTTGCAGATAGCTCTCTTCAGAACTTCACCCATTTCTTTATTTCATATATACTTTTTATATACTCTCAAGTAATTTATTTAGGTTGGTTTATAGTATTATCACACTGTCTGGATCGTAATAGCCATCCATCTATTCAGTATTTTAATAAACATTTCACACCATAAGCCCCTCACTGCTTCTATGTATATTTTACTTCTCTGCAAAGAGATTTTTCTACCATCATTCATGTCAGCAGAGGCCTGTGCAAATCGTTTTTTGGTGCTAATAGAGTATGCAGGATCTCGACCATGCATTCCAGCTACCTTACATCAGTTATAACCTAATACAGAGCTATTAGAAGATAATCATAGAATCATAAAAAAAAAAAAATCAGAGTCATCCAGCTGAAATTAGAAGAGTAATTTAGTAGGGAAAATGTAACTATCTTTATTAGAAGGAAAAGGTGGATTTATTCTATAAGCCTAGGGGTGTCCCATGCTTAGGTCTCTTAGGTCTCTTCACTCCTGCAACACGTACAATAGTATTTAATGATTACAAGCAGCAAAGGTACCAATTAATCTCATTTGAAAGACAGCAATTTTGATGTAGTTTCCCTTGACAACAAGCAAAGATGATCACATTCTAACTCACAACAGAACTCACTCCTCAACAAATACCAAGGCCCACTTTTAGCAATGCCAACCCAGGCATTCCTTGTGAGTTCCTTAACAAAGCAATGAACACAGCTGATCTTGCAAAGATTGTATGATCTAAACTCCCAAAAAATGTGGTTGCAACCTACAATTTCACCCCTATATCACTGCCTGCTACACATATTGCCAGTAGATCTTAATTTCTTTGCAGCTGTACTTTAAAAGGCTCAACTCTGAATTATAAAGTATCAATGTAACAATACAGAGTCTGTTTTGGTTATCTGTTCTGTTCAAGTCTATTACAAACCATTTCAGATCTTTTCCAGTGTGTGGGCAATGCATAGCACTTAAAGTGCTATTCCAACACTGTGCTTTTCCTCATCAATTCATAAAAATATCAGAATATGGAAGCTGTAAGACATTCCCTCACGATAACACATTCCTTCTAGAAATACAAACTCTATCACTTTCAAAAATAGTCTGCACTACCTGGAAAAAAACAAGTGCAAATCCAAATAAATCATAAAATAAAAATGAATTAAATATGGGCCATCACTTGCAAGTGGGCACAGGGAAAGTCTTCAATTCAAGTAGTGATCTTAAAAAAGAACAAGTGCTTATAAAAAATTTGAAAAAAGTCATTATGCTCTAGTGAATGGAGCCAGTCTGTGCCACTGAAAGACAAGGACGTTAAGAACAAGTTACTTGACAGCGTCTGCTTCTCAATTTGTCCAGTGAAAGGAAGAAGGGATAGAACAGTTATCTCCCTAACTTCACTGTCACGTCATTCCCCCACCCCTCAAAAAAAAGGCAAGCAGAGGATGGGAAGAAAATTGCTCTGGAGAACACAGCTTTTAGTAGCACAGTCAAGCAGCATTAGGACTCCTTCCAGACAAGCTGCTAATTATTACCAGGGATTATTGCACTAATGACTGGAGCAAAGACACAAGAATTAGGAAAGCACAGAAACAAAGGCCTGAATAACAGGGGATCAGTGAGCTCAGATACAAAAAGCAAATTCATTCTCAAGAAATATGGCTGTCTAAATCACTTCTGCCACCCAGTTCTTAAGATGAGCAAGCACAGGAAAGGCTTGCTCATGTGAGTGGGCAAGTGGATGGATAATCTATTACAACTAGAAAAAGGAAGAGAAACAACAATGCTGTGTTTATTCTCTTATGTACTTCATTCCAGGCACAGCTGAGATCAAAAGTAACTAAAATATCCTAACAGCAATTCCTAGGAAGGTTTTAACTCAAAAGAGAAGCTTAAACAGTTGGGTAGTCCTGACTTAATTTCTGTACACTCTAACAAGTTGGACCTCTTGCTAAGACATAATAGAGCATAAAATTCAGAACAACAGTTATGTCATATCTGTATTTTCAGACGTTCGTGTAGTCACCAAGCTTCACATCAACACTTTTTTTTTTTTCTCTATTTTCTAGTTGTTGACAAGGTTCAAATGCTGGAGGAAGGTGTGGCAGAACGGATTCAGGCACTTCTAAGGTCAGAGATACCTCCCGTGCAGTTTAAACTTCTTGGAACACTACGGATGTTAGCAGATGGTCAAGGTAGGGAATTGCTAACACTTACTGATGTCAGTTATGCATCCCCCTCTTCTCCTCCCCCTGCAAGACAAGGAATGTGCAAGGAGACTACAGGCTAAGTGTCCTGCTAACCTGATTCTACTCAAGCTGGAGAGGTTCCAACAGAGATGACTGCTGGAGGCTGAGAGCCTTCCATACTGACCTAGTCAGACCCAGAGGTAGATGAGAAACAAACCAAATGGAAGGATCTGCAGAAGTCAGTGAGAACTGGCAAAGGCCTAAAAGGAAGATGATGTTTTCCACCAGAGATATGCCATCATACTCATGCCTTGCTGGTAAAGAGTCAGGTTAAGGATTTACAGTGCCAAATCACAGGAAAGCAGATCAATGAACAGGAGAATATAAAAGGATCAAAGGAAGCTGGGGTGGAGTAAGGCAGGAGAAATGAGTTTCTACCGGTTACACAGTCTCTCTGTACAAGTTGCCACGTTTATCTTGCTGGCGTGGCTCCAACGTTGAATTTACTTCGCATGTTGAAATATGGGATTATCTACTTGCACTTCATTCAGTTTTACACAGGAGGCGGGTATGCAAAGGCAACCATACCTGTGCGTATCGTTGCTTTTTGAGAAACACGCACAATATCAGAATCGCATTAAGATCACTACAATATCTTAATTTATCCTTATACTCTGGTAAGAAGCTAGGTAAGTCTAACACAAAAACAAGTGTTGTGGGGTTTGGGGTTTTTTCATGGTGTTCCAATTCTTTCATATCACCAGAGCAGCTACTCTAGAACGTTAATCAGTACAGACCACTTTAATGTGCAGGAACAACAATAAATAGGTCAAAAACAGAAAAGTTATGACCATTTTGCAATGGGGACTGACAGCTGGTATGGAACAATTACAATCACAAATTCATTAGTTACATGAAAGGAGAAAAAAATCTCACTCTCCTACATTCCATGCCGCACTCATTTACACCACTGCAAGACACCACTTTGAAATGGCAGCTACTTGTATCCTTCTTCAAATGAATATGCATTATATAAAATTTAGATCTAGCACTCATTAATTTGCACTGATTCTAGTCCAGTAAAAAGCTGCTTTCACTTATATTTCACTATGGTAGGAAATAGACATTGGAAGATTGTAGAAACTTAGCCTCTTCCTCTCAGGCTTTGAAGGAAGTAATTGAAAGGCAATTTCTCTAGTTACATCTGAACTGTGACAGGGGAGACCACTTAGCTTTTGCAGTTGAGACAGAACACAGATCTAAATTACCAAACATGAATTTTTTTTTTTTTTTTACTCAATGCTCTTTACCAGCCCTAGTATGAAGTTGGAATTTGGCATAAAATGGTACAACTTCTGAATCTGAAACAATACAGGTATCAAAGTCTAGAGTAGAAAAAAAAGATGTAGAAGATTGTTCAATGTTTACCCATTCCTGCCTATGAGCACACAGTTCTCCCACCTTTAATTACTTTCTATTTTATCCACCCATAAGCTAACACTGCCCTTAATTAACTCAGCCTGAAACTCTTATGAATACACATCTATTAAGTAGTCCACACTAAATTAGTTAATTGCATTATCTAGTACAAATTCATTACTCCAACAACCACTGGGCATGCTGAGGCCTACAGACTAGAAGAGGTAGGTTTCTTTCCAACTGTAGAACTGCAGTCAGATCTGTCAGCTTCATTACACTAAAGAGATGTTAACATTAACTCCTGGTTTTTTCACTGTTTTGCTTCAAAGGAGCAGAATAATTTGTGCACTTCAACAGCCAAAGGACTTTCAGCTCAACTGAAAGTTCAATCATACATACAATTTAGTCAACTTAGGCTTTTGTAAGTTAAAAGGTCCTCCTTTTCCTATCAAGAATAACTAACTAGGCTTTATCTCAAGGAGCTCCGCTGCTGGTAGACATCAGCAAGTCCCTGTCAAACTGGGTCAAGACACCTCCTTTGAACAAACCTCTTAGACTGGCTCCATTCACCACCCTCTTACCTCTTCCAGCTTTCTGTACTAAACCAGATTATCATGATGTCCTCAGACTAACATGTAACATCTGACCTAGAAACCAAAGCCCTTCTGTTACAGAGGTAATATGCAGGTGGCTGTGCAACGACAAGTAACTCTTCTCTCAAAACAAACATGCTCAGCTAGACTAGAAGATTCCTTTTGGGTTTTGATCCATGGATTGTTCCTTAGTGTACTGGACAAATAAAAAAAAAAGGAAGTGTCTGTCTTTCCTCATCTCTCTCCCCAAAATAAGAAGAGTATAGGTTGACTTACAGTTTCTGCAAAACATCTAGAGTAGTCATGTGGTTTGACACTGACCTTCCAGTGCACACTTTATTTGATACTTTCCAGAATATCTCAAAACAAATGCAACACACAGAAAAGCACAGGTAAAGAAACAGGAACAGGGTGATGCCCATCAGCCAAACCTATCCCTTCTGCTCCAGCTGTTAATATTGGTTCTTCAAATATTTGCTTCGGCAAAGCTCGAAGAGACAGACTTCCCAGTATCTTAAAGCCATGCAGACTTTTCCCCATATTTTTCCCCCTTTCTGAATTTGCTTCCAAAGGAGCAGGGATTTCCATACTTGCCTTCTTTCACGCCTGGAACTATTTTAAAAGTCTGGGAAGGCAGAAAAATATTGGAAAAAGCTCACAGACTCTTCATAGCCCTTCCTAAGGAATGTACCTTTCCCATAGAGGCCTTCACCACATCCTTCCTTCTTCAGAGCACACAACGCATTTCACGCTCATCTGCTCTGGTCCTCAAGCAAAGGGGTGGGGAGCAGACCTGGTACAGGACTCAAGATGACCAAAATTAAGTCAACAAGAATTACAAGTACTAATTACAACTTAATTACAAGTACTACATGAGACTCCTAAATTTGAATTAAGTCTTATAACCACAGTCTATTTTTGCAAATGGAGTAATTCTGCACCAAAAGCGAGCATCTGTCCTGGGACTACTCTTGCCTCTCTGGTGCCCAGTTGGAAGTGCTGTGCATTTATATCCTCAGTTCACGATCAACTGAAACACACGGAAACAGCGGTTTGGCAATTTAAAACACAGTTCTTTTGAGCTCTAAGCCAAATGGGTGAGCACTCAATTCCTATAAAAAGGCAGCTTAAGTTGTGCACATTGCTACTTTCTTATCTTTCTCCTGTACCCTTCACTTAGAAGAAAATTTCAGTTGAACCAAGATGTAGAATTCCAAAGTCTTAAGTATTGAATAGTATCAACTAACTGAAATTAATGAAGCAGTATTTACCAGGATGTTCTCTGGGCTGAACCCCTGCTTAACATATTTGGTTAAAATAAGAGTATTTCACAGTCCTCAGCTCTTATATCTGCATTTTTCCTTTGCTTAGGAAGTAACTTTCCACCAGTTAGTCACATTTGATCCACAGCACTTTAAAGATGCATTATTAGACTGCAGTAAGACTCATGTGGAACCAGGTGTTAAGGCTGATGCAATATTGAGAGAGCATGAGTAAAGTTCCTTTTGCTGCTGAACACAAGAGCTTTGGGAGTAGTCTCCCTTAGTAGCAACAAGCCTTAAACCACAGCATTTCCTAAGAAGTGGAACTCTAATGACAAGTTATCTAGTGAGGTTTTTTCCAAATGTCAACCACACAGATTAATACTTCTAGCAAGTCTTGAGATAGGGTTTCTGAAACATAGGGGAAGGCAAATTAAAAGGCACCTCTAAACTCTGGGAGAAAGTTTTGATCATGCTTAATACACGGTTCAACACACATTCTTAAGACTTCAAGACATGCAATTAGAGACATGCTGCAATTCTGTACCAAGACTTGGCTTCCCGCATGCTACCAACGGTAATTATCACCATTACTGAAAGCACTGAAACAGCAAGAAAAGGTTCTGGAGAGCCAATGATTATATTTGTGCAGGGCTCAAAGAGCAAGCGTAAGAAACCAAACAGGAAAGGGACAGTCCTCATGAAGATTTCAGTATAGCAACAGAATATTTGCTTTCAAAGCTATGAAGCTGCTCATTTTAAGCCCTGCTTCAGCAGCCTCTTAAAAAGGATAGGTCTATTGGAACAGGTTACTTTGTTCTTTACTTTCAAGAGTTACCCTAACACAACTGGCATTCCTCAAGCAGAGATTTCGAAGATCCCTTAAAATCCCAATAGTTTAGTTACAGCTCTTAGAACACTGAGCTCAGGCCTGTGGTTTTGGCTACTTCTACATTCACATTTCTGTGACAGACACAGAAAGACCGAAGAGTCCAATTGTGAATGTCTCCTGATGATGCTTTTCTCTTCAGCTGATGCAGCTGAAATCTTGGGCCAAGACCCCATGCTGCTCAACAGACTTGTACAGTGGTGCAACTCCAACGACCACACCGGCATTCATGGAGAAGCAAATCGGCTGCTAGCATCAATCTTGCGTCACAACAGATCCCAAGTACGAGAGCTATTGGTCTGATATGTTTCTACTTTATCCTTCTCTGATGTTTTTAGAGTTTGTCAATTTAGCTAGGGGTTAAGTGCTAAACAGCACATACAGCTTTATCACTAAAAACATGGCAGTTCACTGTAAAAACCATCCAGTCTGCCTCAGTACCACTAAGGGGAAGGTGAGCAGGAAAGCAGTGCCCTCTATAGCTGTAGATACTGCACAGAAATGAGCAACATGGTTACTTACTGTCACTTGTCAACTTTTACCCTGCTTGAGTAAGGCTTGACAAATGGTAAGTAGGTAAAGCTTTTCTATTTCCATAAATACTAGTTTCAAATTTCAAATTAAAATGGCAAAGATAACCCAGACCTGTCTTGAATATCAGTCTCCCAGGAGCTCCAAAGAGCTCACTTAGTGATGGATGAATCTGGCATGATCTGTATCTGGCAGCACATTACAGCAGGCTTCTGTTTCTTATAAATCATGCTATTATACACAGGCACCCCAACCGTGCTTTACTTTGAAGTAGTGATAAAAAAAGTAGATACTATCAGCACAGGCTTCAATAAAGTAAAGCTAATCTTTGCTAGTCTGAAGGCTTGAAATGAAAAATAAGGTCAAACTAAAACTTGAGACAAAATATATATTGTTTTATCTTATACGAATGCATATACATCATTGTAAGTATTGATATTCCAAGTAAATTGGACCAGCCCTAAACAGACACGTATCTTAAATGTTACCTCTAGTCTTCAAATATCAGTTTGCACTGCAGCAGGCAAATCATTTCCATCTATTCAGAGGCTGAAGAGTGCAATCCCACTTCCCTCAGTTTGTACATCAGACTTCCATCTGTGATATTTTACCTTTGCTTTAACAGGAAGTGGTCAAAGCCATCCAGGAGGCACAAGGAGTGAAGCAGCTCGTTTCCATGACAACAAGCAAACATGCTGCCATGCAGAATGAGGCTCTGAATGCTTTGGCAGTAGCATCTGCCATCAATTTAGGTATTTTTCTCCTAAAAGCATTTATCTGTGCAAGACGCTCAATTACTAAGAAACACTGGCATGTTGTTAATTCTACATGTAAGAAAAAGCATGTTTCTTTTCTAGATTTAGTTCTTCAGCATAAAATAAAGGGGGTCAGCCATGCAGAAGATCAAAAGCAATAGGCTTCAGGAATTGCCTAAAGATTTTGTTTGGGGTAGAGCCAAATGATCAGGTTCTGTGGACAGGCACAATCTGCTGAGTAGCATGGTATGTATGACTCCAGAAACCTACACAAAAACACAGAAGGAAAGTAAAGGGTATAAAGACTAAAGAGATGAGAGTCTAAATGAAGACAAAATTAAGGACGAATTATGGACTTGAATGGTCAAATGAAGACTATAAGTGGAGGAAATCTTCAGGAAGACAGGCATTTGAATGCAGGAGTGAATAAAGCAGAAGCACAGACAAGAGGCCCTTGTAGAAGCTGCAGGTGAAGCAAGTGACAAAACTATAAAGGTTCTAACTAACTTTGCTGAGCTAATTTTCAGAGGGATTGAGTATTTTCAGATTTTTCCTGTATGACTGATCACATTTGAAAATGGGTGTCTATTACAATAAAGACAGTCACTACAAAATCTACACACATCAAGATAAATTGAAAAGAAAGTAAATTTGGAATTTCTTATACTAACAAACAAGACAGTAGAGAGCTCATTTTACTGCTCGGTCCATCATTAAGGCTCTCAAACTCAATTGGGCAACTAACATGAATCAACATTTCTAGCACTGACCACTGCAAATTTTCAGCTATTATGAGGTTATTTTATACAATCTATAGTACACAGGTTCTGCCTTCCAGAATGAGGCCAGTGCAGAAACACTGTACAGAAAATACAGACATTCTCCAGTACAGAAAACAGATGCTCAATCTGAAACGAAGCCAGTCAGGAATTTTATTTTTAAAAAGCAACCATGTTCACTTTCTAGCTTCTTCTCAGGTAACAGGTATTCGTTTACTTATTTTTCAGAAACCCTTGAAGAATCTTTTAAGGAATCACAGCTAGTTCAAAGCTTACACAAACTTCTACAAGATGATAATACAAGTCCTGAGGTGAAATATAGTTCAATGGGTCTTTTGTGCAGTCTTCTTAATTCAGGTAACTTCATTAAGTTGACTGTGATGAAAGGATGGATATTTTTGATGAAAACGCAAGCGTTTTCTGTTACTGAAGTGTGCTGCTTGTGATGTTGCAGTCAGTGAATAGTAAAGGTTATTAAAGAGGTTCATTCTTAACTGATCACCAAAAATCCCAGTCAAGTAGCTTCTTGAAAAGCTGATTAAACCATCAGTTGAATAAAAAAAAGAAAGGCTTTATTCCACTGAGTCAATAACATAATCGAGTCCTGAAATAGCAAAATTAGAGCCTTGGAATAAAGGCATCTTTGTCCAAATTCACCATGCACTAATGTCTGGCAGTCCCAGGTCCTGTGTATGTACCACAGCATTTTCGTATTCAAAGAAATAAAGAGTCTGTATCATCTTCCACAGGCAGGCATACATTTGTTCTGCCTATGCTGTAACCAAACCAGAAGCTGAGATAAAACAGCAATTTTAGCAATGCTGCCTTTGCACAGCAACTTTCAGTAAAACATATGAAGGATATTATTTCAGTTTCTCTCGCTCCACAGTTAGGGAAGACTTAAAATGCTTTGAGCAAGATCAGACTCATCCTGGATGTGTGGCACTAACTGAAAACCACCACCTTGAAACCAGGAGTCCAAAGATCTCCTGCCAGTTTCTCACATCTTAATACATAAATCATGTAAATTGAAAATAACGATTGTGTTCAGGCAAGAATCTGCCACAAAGGGAGCTGCTTTTCAAATCCTGGAGCCACCCTGTATCGGCAGACAAGCTGGATTTTACAGTATATTCTACTTTTTGCCCCCTGTAAACCACAGAGGTATTGGAATAGGAATAAGCATTTGCAACCTTCAGTACTACTATAGAGTATTGACACAACAGATGGGGTCTATAAGACTTTTTTCCAGGGGTGTATATACTTAGCTCTTTATAGACTAACTGTAACACTATTAGTTGAGTCTTACTAATATGAAAGGCTAATAAAAAAAGCATACAAGCAAAAAAAATGCTGGAACTTGTCCTGTATTACATTTTCAGCAAAGTGCTTTTCTTCTGTTCAATCAATTCTTGGAAGTTAAACAGGAGAAAAAAATTTTAACCTGTTCAATACTTTCAATGGCAGAAAGGGTGTCTATTGAGAGAAATTTATTTAAATTAAAGCAGCTCGTTTTAAACAGCAAAAGACTCCAAACTTTTATCTTACAACAATTGTTGGGAGCCACTATGCCATGGCATGTCACTAAAAGTCAGCGTTTCATCTCCCATTCAGGTGATCTGAGACAAGAAATAGAAGAGGACAAGATTAAAGAAACCCTTGAACAACTCTGCAGTCACAGCAATGCAAATGTGGCCAAGGAAGCTATCGCAACATTACAGGTTGTGAGAAGAGAGACACCCCACTAGCCTCCCTTCTTCCCCCCAGTAACCCTGCATTGCTGCTGAGGCAAACGCAATAAAGCGCCAGCTTTGCCAATCCTACCTTGCATTTGTCAAGATGAGATCAAATTCAAAACCCTGTAGTGGTAGATACTGAAGAGCTAGAAAACAATAACTTTCTTAGCCAGTAGTGAAAGTTATTGAGGAAAAAAATAGAAGAGTACTGACCTTTAAAAAACTGTTATAAAGCAGGGCATATTTAAAAGTCAACAAGGCCTGCTGTTCTCAAACAATTTGAGTATAACTGGCTTATAACTGCAAACAAACGTTACAACTTTGTTCCCACAAAAGCTTTCCCACTTGCAAAACTTGTTAGCACTACTTAGCCCACTACGTTTGCCACAAAAATATCACTTTCAGGAGTGCTCTTGAGAAAGGGAATTTCATAAAACCACCCCAGACAAGTCATTTGGTAACACACAAGCAGGTTTTGACCACACAGTAGACAAAAACAAGGGCTGCACCATGTGCAGTTTCCTCTAGCTTAAAGAACACAGTGATATGGGCATCCTACACATTTCCAATGTCAAAATAAGAAAT